TCTTCCTCCGCAAATTTCATTTTTTCTCTTCCAACAACTTTTAACTTGAATAGTGTTTGCTTGCACCCTTGTTGGAAGTGAAAATGTTTAAAAAAGTAATAATAATTGCTTGATAAGAAAAAACCCATGAAACGGGACGGTTTTTGAGTAGTTTTTGACTACCATTCCCTCTTCATTGTATCTTTTTTAATAATATTGTTTTTTAATAATATTGAGTCTGTATAAGTCAGGCAATGGACTGACCTGTTTGTCAGTTCTATCAGGTAGACTATTATTATCTTTTTAGTGTGACTGTTCCTAAGTGCTCCAAAATATCTTATTAGTCTAGTTTTTTTCCTCAAAAATCAGTCCTTTGGAATTCACTTTCTTCATCTTGTTTTTCTGATTCATATAACTTGAAGTCTTTTAAGTTGCTGTTAATCATTATCTTCCTCCGCAAATTTCATTTTTTCTCTTCCAACAACTTTTAACTTGAATAGTGTTTGCTTGCACCCTTGTTGGAAGTGAAAATGTTTAAAAAAGTAATAATAATTGCTTGATAAGAAAAAACCCATGAAACGGGACGGTTTTTGAGTAGTTTTTGACTACCATTCCCTCTTCATTGTATCTTTTTTAATAATATTGTTGTGTAGAAAAAAAGTAAAATTGGCGGGAAGGTAATTTAAAAAGCTTTCTGTGTACTCAATGTACTCAAGGAAAGAAATGTAAAATATGTAATTTTTAGAAGCGATGAATAATCAAAAATTAAAATTTTTTATTTTACCAGGCTTTAAACAAAATATTTCAAATTTTACAATGAATCTTATTAAAATAGCTCCTTTAAAAATATATATTCATGTAAAATTAATACCTTATTTTTAATAAGGTTCTCAAACAACCGTAAATATTTTAAATATTTAAGGTTGTAGGAGATGTTATTTAAAACCTTCCTATTTGTTCGTTTTGCTTAACAAGGAAAATTTTTTAACTTAAATGCCTGTGTTTGTACTTAATGTTTCCAATGTTCCTGTTTGCACTTTATATTAAAATTAAAAGTGAGGGACATATCAAAAAGTTATTTATTATGAAAAATATCTTGGATTTCCTGATTTTTTTCCTACTATTTAATGTGAATAACTTATTAATAAATCAATTTTAAATAGTTTATTTAAAATATCTCACTCATTGCAAACTGAAAATATTATTCTAATTCTATTATTTAATGAAAAAAGCATAAGATTTATAAGATTTTATATTAAAAATTGAGGTTTCAAAAAAAAATCAAAGTTTAAAACTTTTTATAACAATGTTATCAAAAGTTATTATGAAAAAGGTTATGAAAATTAGTTTTCAGTTTTTTTTCTTTATTATTCTTCATGTTTTTTCAAACAACAGCACTTTTTTATATCAAGTTTAAAAAATGAGCAATATTGCAGAGATTTAAATATAATCTTTTTCAAAAAAAAATTTTCAAAAATCGAGTAGCATCCCACGCTGCCAAACTTATAGCTGTCTACAAGTGGATTTTTTTTAGACATAAAAAGTTTATATAAACAATCACGGCTGTTTCACTCAATATAAAAACGAGCGTGACGTCATGAGTTTATCAAAAAAAAAGTATTTCCGCATAAAAAGTATAAATATTCACAAACTTTAAATTAATAGTAACTTTTTTATATAAATGCTTTCATCTTGCAATTAAAAAAATATAAAAGATCTATCTTTCCTTGTTAAATAAATATTTACATTAATTGGTATAAAAATAAATATTGCCAAAATATTTTTAATAATTTAGAACCACTTTTCTAATTTTCGCATATTTTCCGGAATACATGAGTTGGGCCAACTAAGATTTCCCAACATAGCTCTGTGCTTGATAGCTGAAATTTGGAACACTTAACCCTAAATGTCCATTCTATCAGATTCCTGCGTCATCCTAGAAATTTTTTTACAAAAAGACTGTTTTTAAAGCATTTATATTTTTTAATTGATCGTTTTTAAATGCAAAACGTAACTTTTTTTCCACTTTTATCTAGTGCATATATTTGTTAATTAATATTATTTTATTTGTTTTTATTATATTGATTAATAAGTCAATATTATTTTGATAACTATGTATTCAACTGAGAGGGAAATTCTAAAACAACATATTGGATGGAAAAATGGTTGGGAAGATAGGTATAACTTTCCTTTTGTTAAGCAATTAATTAGGACAGATAAGATCAGTAACAATGTCATTTCCATTTTAATGACAGTCTTTAAAATAAGAAGTGATTTATTTAGTTTTATGAGTTTTCTTTTGCCAATGGATTTTGATATGCCTAGTAATGACGAGTTTGATAAAATGTGCCTAAAGTTAACACGCCAAAAAAAGAAATATAAAAAAATTTTTAAAGCTATAAAAAACGAAGAATTTTTTAAAATGCAACTGTCACAAGCTCCACCCAAAAAAAAAAAATCAGCAGATGCAGATGACTTTTTCACTTTAAATAACAGTCAGGAGCTACTGAATCAAATTGATCAATTAACTTTTGAAAATAAAACAAATATGGAGCAAGTAGAAAAATTTTAAATGCAAGTATTTAAGTTGGGAGCTGAAATTACAGATTTAAATTCTAAAAATAGGGCTCTCAACACACATTGTAACTCATTAAGTTCTCAATTAGAGACTATGAGTATTAGGCTAAAACAGGAGGAGCAGTTCCAACTTAAAAAAAAAAAAAAATTAAAACAGCACAGCGTAAATTTGCATCTGCCCGTGCCAAAAATGTAAGATTGCTAAAAAAAATTAATATTGAAAACAAAATTGCAAAAATTAGTGATTTAAGCCAGAACAGTTGCCAAATTTGCAAATGTTTTGCTAGTAGCGATAAGGATTTAGTTGTGGTTGTTTCTTATTTAGACTACGACAACATTGGTTCCTCTGAATTATTTTGTGGGTTTAAATTAAGTAATCCACAGAATTTATCAGTTAAAAAACCAATAGTTAGTAAAAAATATACTTACGTTAAGTTAGGAAATGGTAAACCTTATTCTAAGTTAGGTAGCCATGCTGCAGCTAGACGATCTAAACTTGCTTTTATATTCCTTCGATTATTAACTTGTTCAGATTTAGAAAGTGATTTGTCTATGTTGTTTTGTGATTCTATGTCTTGTGAAAAGTCAATATTTTGTTGTGTTGCAAATAAGTTGGGTTTAGTTAAGCAGTTAAGTGTTTCTGATGCTGTAGAGCTACATAGCTAATTAAGGATGCCCACGGCTGAATTCCGTAGACTAAGACGTGTTCTGTGTAATTTTGATGCAAGGATTCTCCCATCTGAGCCCAAGATAAGACAAGAACAAGAAATGCAGACAATAAAGAACATGTCACTGTGAAGTCCATGTTAATTTATCCATCTGCGAATGAAGCACCTTGTTTATTATCTGTACTGATGGTCAAGAATTTGACAACTTATATTGAAGAGGTTTTTAATAATCTTTATGTACGTGACCACCTTAATTCAGATGTTGGTTTTGACGAAGAAGTTTGGCTCCTTTTTGCTGGTGATAAGGGTGGGAAGTATATGAAATTCCATTTTAAAGTTGTCAATTCTAAATCATCAGGGTCTGTATACGATGTTCACTTGTTTTGTATGTATCAGGGTTCAGACTGTCATGAGAATAGTTCTCGGGCATTTTGCCAACGACATTAAAAGAATTCAGTCGTCAGATTTTAAGCTAAAAGGCAAAATAGTCAGGTTGTTCTTAGGTATAGATTTTCATTTTATCGATGATGTTCTGGGACACCAGGGTTCAGCTGTATAAAACTGTATAAGTTATTGTTGAAGGAGTGTAAGACTTTAGATTGTCAAGCTGTTTCGTCTTTGTCGCATAATGAGAATGTGAGAACGAATGAATTGTGGACTGCTAAAAGCGTTGAATGTTCTAAAACAGCAGAAGCTTTACGTTTATTAGGAAATCAATTTGTAGACATTGCAAATCTACAGGCGCGTTGGTTAGCTTTTAATAAAAATATTTCTAAATTTTCTCTAAACTCCTCCAATTCCTCCAAAAAAAATTCTTTTATACGCGCACAACAGAAACTTTTAGATGTTGAGTATATTCGATTGCAGATGGAGTGTGAAGACCTAGAAAAAGAATATAAAAATAGCATAGGGCCTCATGAGAGGTCTCTTTATAAGGCCCTTGAAGATATGAAGGTTGAGCGACAAGCTTACCATGGTAATGTATTTGGAGGTAATCATTGCAAAATTGTATTAAGAAACCACTATAAACTTTGTAGTGTTATTGATGATGAAGCAATTAAAAATAGATTTGTACGTGTGTTTAGTGTTTTTAATAAGTTGCAACCTATTCTTTTTTGGCGAAAATTTCTTTCCGATGCCGAAATTACTGAGCTTCATCAATATATAAATTTATTTGCTATTGAGTTCATTGCTTGCTTTCCAAATGAAAGTATCGCACGAAATATGCATGAACTTATTTTTAATGTGCCACTATTTGTAAAATTCCATGAAGCTATTGGGTTGCTAAGTGAAGAGGAGGGAGAGTGTTTGCATAATAGCGTAAATAAGGAATTAAGACAGTTGCATTCAGTAAGAAATCAGGAGCAGAAGCTGCATCTTGTTTTAAAACGCTTTGAATTGCACAGCAAAGCTGATAAGAAGCTTCAAGCCTCTAAGGTAAGAAAGTGTGTTGTGTGTTCTGAGCGTGGCGAAAATTCATTTTATAAACAAGGTCTTTGTCTTGTTTGTGGTCATCAAATTTAGTTTAAATATTTAAAAAATTAAAAACAACAACAACAAAAAAATACTATTTACAAGTAAGATAAATTATATGAGATCTTTAATTTATATATAAGATAATTTTATTCTGTTCTAATATCTGTGTAATGTTAGTTTAAAATATTATTTTTTATTATATTGATTTTATATTAGGTAGGTGCCCATTCTGTTCCTATCTTCAGAAGTTATTTATACCTATGCAATACCTTTGCTCAGGTTAAAGAATGGAATACTATTCTTGCATCAAATGTATGTAAAAATCTAGCTTTTATATATTAACTTGTGATCAGAGCAACTGGTATGTTGGTTGGGTATCATCTTGTATGTTTGTGTATTTAATTTAAAAAATATATTGTCCTTCATTATATGTAACATTTTTTTATAGATATTTTACATATCCATTCGATGTTTATCACCAGAAGTTAGTTCTACCTTTGCAGTACCTCTGCTCTACATACCTCCTCGCTGGTTAAAGAATGGAATATAAATCTCATATCAAGTTGGTGTAAAAATTTAGTTCAATAAATTAAGAATTTGTAAACGTTATCAAAATTTTGAGTGGAGCAATTGTTTTTCTGATTTAGCATGAGTATGAATCTGATATCAATTGGATGTACAAAGATAGTTTATTACTTAAAGAACCTATCAGTAAACCAACTGATTATTAAACAGTTTTTAATGGGAATAAAAACAAATTTTTAAAAGATTTCAATTAGCTATTTGTATATTCAAACACTTTATTTACTGAGAGAAGAGACTATAGATTCAAGTGCTATAAAATAATTCTACTACCAAAAGCGAGGTTAATTCAAAAACTTAAACTCAAATTTGGTCATGAATTATTTTATTAGACTTGGTAAGTCTTTATTAACAACTTAACACCATATTATTAGAACTGTATGCACAGAAAAAAAATAAATGCTTAAGCTTTAAATGTTTTGACTAAATATTCCAAAATCGAAATCTGGCTTTATTTTGCAATGCAATGAATTTATTGGGTTAGGAAAATAAGTTTCTAAAACAAGAACTCCTAGGTTTAAAAATGTACTCTTTTAACAGCTAATCCCCCTTTTAACTACATTTTTCATAACTTTGCGAAAAGTGCGGTTTGCTTTCAGACCTCAATAAAGTCTGTTTTAGCTATCCTTAAACAATTAAGTAAGGTTTTTTTGTTTTTATAATAGTCAAACAATGGGTATATTTGAGAATAACTATCAGAAATAAATTTTTCTGATTTTTTTTTGATAAAAAGTAACATCAAATTACTTGAATTCAGCCAACTTCATCATTTGTCGTGTTTTTTTTAAACTTAAAGAAGTTTTTTTACTAATGCATTAAACGTCGTAAGATGAAACATTTTATTGGTGTTTTTATTCTTTTTACAAAACAAAATTATCTTTAATATTTTAAAAGTTATAAAAGTTTTAGTAACACCCCTTAAGTCAATATTTTCAAAAAATGTAACAAGAAGCCGTTAAGCTCGGTTTGAAACAGCCGTGCAATGCATATTAAATGTACTTTTTTACCTTACAAAAACTAACCTTGAAGGAAAATTTTCAGTAAACATAAACACACAAACAAACATTATCTACATATACTCTATTTTTACAAATCAGAATCAGACAAATAATGCAGCTATATTATTTGTCTGACTGCTTTACTTAAATTAAAAAAATTTATATATATTATATATAAATTTTTTTAATTTAAGACTTAAATTAAAAAAATTTATGTATAATTTACGGATTTTGTAACTATGAATTTGTTGTAACTATGTCAAATCTTATCGAAATGCCTATACCTTGGTATCAAAAGATAGATGTAAGAATAGACTACAAGTTTATATAATTTTATATATAAAAAGGGTGTCTAGAGAGCCAGAGGGGGTGCCTATAGGGGGAATTTTTTAGCTTAACAAAAAAAAAGGGATTTTTAGCTTAATAAAAAAAGGGGATTTTTTAGCTTAACAAAAAAAAAACAGACCTCATAAGAGGCGTGCGATCACACGCCTTATATGACAATCCGCCTATAATGAATAGCCTATGAATATTATTATTAATGCGCATAGTTACGCGTATTGTTTTATAGTTACGATACGGTTCTGTATCTGTAAAATACACTTTTTAAGTAGTTTCTAGACTTTTCTTTACCGCGTGCTTACTTACAGATTTCCCTTCAACCTTTCATGGTACGAGTTCAAAATGTCTAAGTTGATATTAAGTAGATAATGTTTAGTAGCTTTAAATTATAGGTAATCTAAATTTTTTTTTAAATTTAAAAGTAAATAATTTATTGTAATCTTTTTTAAATTGTAATTTTAAATTTAAAGCTTCGTGTTATAGATTACTTTAATTCTTAAATTGTGTCTAGCGTTAAAATATATTTATGGGTAGTTTCATGCTTTCACTTAGTTTTGGTTATTGGGATAAAAGCCATGACAACATTTTGTTATAAATTTATCTTAATTTAATTTTTATTGAAAAATTTGTTATAAATAAAATTTATCTTTAATATTGTTAATACTTTTGCTCTTTGAAAAAAAATATGTTTCTGGCTCTTCAATAAATATAAAATAATTTGTATTGCATGAATGAATTTTGGTTTAGGATTTAATTGTGTTAGTTTATGTTTGTCTATCTGTAATTTATTTAGGTTATTAGAAAATTCATGTTTACAGAGTTGTTATTAATCATAATCGAGTTGTTAAACCAAGGAAATTGTGGAGGTTTATTTATCATATATACTATATATATTATATAATTATATTGGAGGGAGTAAGTTTAGAAGCATTTTTAAATTTTTAAAAAGAAATAAAAATACTTTTTAATATATATCTGTTTTCTTTGAGGTAGAATTAAAGTTTCAGTTTTTTAAAACTTTAAATTAACTTTACAATGTTAAAATGGTTTAAACGAACTTAAACGGATTTTTGTAAATGAGTTTAATCCTCAAAGATTAAATTTTTTTTATTATTGAAGAAATTAAACTAGATTTAAGAATGAGTCGACTTAAATGTTTGTTTGTTTTTCTATTTAGATGATGACAATATTGAAGCAAGTAAGTTAAAAAGCATTTTTAAATTTTTAAAAAGAAATAAAAATACTTTTCAATATATATCTGTTTTCTTTGAGGTAGAATTAAAGTTTCAGTTTTTTAAAACTTTAAATTAACTTTACAATGTTAAAATGGTTTAAACGAACTTAAACGGATTTTTGTAAATGAGTTTAATCCTCAAAGATTAAATTTTTTTTATTATTGAAGAAATTAAACTAGATTTAAGAATGAGTCGACTTAAATGTTTGTTTGTTTTTCTATTTAGATGATGACAATATTGAAGCAAGTAAGTTAAAAAGCATTTTTAAATTTTTAAAAAGAAATAAAAATACTTTTCAATATATATCTGTTTTCTTTGAGGTAGATTTAAAGTTTCAGTTTTTTAAAACTTTAAATTAACTTTACAATGTTAAAATGGTTTAAACGAACTTAAACGGATTTTTGTAAATGAGTTTAATCCTCAAAGATTAAATTTTTTTTATTATTGAAGAAATTAAACTAGATTTAAGAATGAGTCGACTTAAATGTTTGTTTGTTTTTCTATTTAGATGATGACAATATTGAAGCAAGTAAGTTAAAAAGCATTTTTAAATTTTTAAAAAGAAATAAAAATACTTTTCAATATATATCTGTTTTCTTTGAGGTAGATTTAAAGTTTCAGGTTTTTAAAATCATATATATTTTAAAATCATATACATAACTCATATATCTTTGTTTTTCTATTTAGACGTTGATAATAATATGAAACAAGTAAGTTAATACCTTTTTAATTAATTACATTAGTTTAATGTGGCATTTAATATGTATTTTATCGATATTTTAACATTTAAACATTAAAGTGCCTATTGTTTCAATACAGAAGTGAAGAAGGAAATAAGTCAGTGTTTTTGCTATTAGATATTTGTTAATAGGAATTTGTTTATTTGTACTGCCACTGGAATTTTTAAAAATCAAGTTCTTTAGCTTTATTTTATACTTTTTTTTTTTGGAAGTTGGAACAAAAACTAAGTATAAATTATGATTAGTTTAATAAATAAAGCATTAATATTGGTGAGTTTATGCTATTTTTTTTTTAAATAATTGCAAATGTATAATTTTTATTATATTCTTCTATTTGTAACTTTATATTCCTTATCATTCGAAGAATACACAAATTACTGCTCCTTACACCCGGTACCTCTCTCAGAGAGGTCCTTCAAAAAATGGAAAGATCATGGCGGAATGGATAAGCCCTCCTTTAAATGGAGGGCTCATCCATACCGGGGTGTTGGGAGACACTGAAGAATAAACAGCAACCAAAAGGTTGTAAATGTCTTCTATCAGTAGAGATATTTATGACTTTTTAGTTGCTGCTTTTTCTTCGGGTTTTTTTTTTTTTAATTTTGGAATTTTTTGTTTCGGTGTTTTTCCTTTTAATTATGTAATTTTTTTTTTAAAATATATATTACGTTGTATATTTGATTTGTTTTGATCTTTTTTAATGAAAATTTTAATTGTTTTCTCACCAATTAAACCTGACTTCAAATTTAAAGCCCTCTTAAATATCCCTCCCTAAAATCTAAAGTCGAAAGTTGAATTGATTCATTATCTAATTATCATAATATAATGATGCTGCATTCTTTTGTTAAAAACAATTATTTGGTATGTTTTATTTATTGAACTCACTGCTTTTAAAATTTACCAAAACCCAAGGCAATATATTTAGCTATATAAATACAATTTATTTATCTCGATTCTATTCTTCATCTTTTATGTTTATAGTTTGGCTCCTTGAAGCATTTTATGTTTTGCTTTTTTTATTATGAGTATTTTAAATCCGTTGTGATGTCTTTTAAATTTACTAAAAGCCAACATAAAAATTACGTTTTTGAACAACACCAAAAAGAACAGCTGCATCCCTACAGCAACTGCTGCAGTATCACAATAGGTTACCTAAAGCAGGTATACTGTTTTCCAGTTGTTGTTTTTTTTTCATATATATCTACTTATCTATATAATACTATAGTACGATTGTTTATATCTCATTCATTTTTTCTTTTTCTTTAAGTGTCAATAATTTTATTCTTTGAATGAGATTAGTTAAACAAGTCGGCTTTCCAATTCAAGATATTGGTTTCAAAATTGAACACCATTAGCAAAATGCTAACAAAATTAGGTAGTTTTTAAAAATCTGTTTTCTATTTAATACACTTTTTTTTAAATATACTTTTTAAATATACTTTTTTAATATACTTTTCTATAACAATCTTACTAATATGGAATCACGTAGCTTTCTAAATATGTTTAATTGTCGTCCCTATCGGTAATAAATATTTTAAATTATTTGATATGGTTTTCTTTACAATAGGCTATGCTTGGCTCCTCGGTGCTGTAAATGGTGGCTTCAACTTAGTTTTTTTAAGAAAAATGTGTTTTATATATGTCTCTGTACAATAGTTAAATATTTAATATATGTCTCTGTACAATATAGTTAAATATGTAAAATAT